AGACTCCGCCAAGGCAGACAGAGATGCCTTTCAGTCGTTCCATGGCGTCGGAACGCACGTTTTGCGGAACATGGAGAGCATCCGCAGAAATATAGATCAGGTAGGCACATCAAAGCTGTCCTAGTACAGTACAGCATGTTGTAAAAGACGGGCTTTTGACGCAGTGTTTTTCCGTTTAGATCAAGATTCCATCCACGAACTGGACAGGGCTAGATTTCCACCACGAAATCGCAACTCTCGACTTCGCCTATCACTCGATTATGACCTGCATCTTGCATCTGCATCTAGCCACACCAGACCAGAAGGCCGCAGATAATTATCTTGGTTCAGCGCGACGGGAGCTGCTAGCCTTGATAGCCATATGTGCGTCAACCGACACGCAGAAAACCGTCGCCTATCTGCATTGGTTAGTCTCTTCCAAAACTAGACACTGAAATACTACTGACAATATATTCCAGGACCCTCCTCTATTACCCTCTAACTGCCTACTTTGCAATTTTCTGCAATGCCGTCGCAACGTGCCATACAGGGGACTTTCAAATCCTAAAAGCTCTCGCGAACTGTCTGGCCGAGAGCGGGACGATAAGCCAGCCCATTGCCACAATGCATATTCTCTTTCAGCAATTTGTTTCTCTGTCGTGGTGCTTTTTTAGTGAAGAAAACACAACCATCTCTTCTGCAGATGAGTGTGTCGTGCGGCCACGGTCTTCTTCTCACCACTGGGGGCCTATAGCTGGCACTGGCAACTCACCGTTATCATTACCTTCCTGGATGGAATCTGCTCCGAGCCAGGAAGTACTAACTACAGCCACAGTGAGACAGGCTTTTGAACCTACGACTACTTTCTCGGTACTTGAGAATGTCTTGTGCTGTGATGATCCAACTTTCTCTTTGCAGGTATCTGACAATGACCCGGTTTGATTAAATGTAATTGGTAGTAGTTCAATTGCAGGGTCTATTTTCATTCTACTAACCGGCCGGCGTGTGGTATGTGGCTTAATTTTGGCCAATAGTTTGCTGGGTGTCTCCCGGGTGGGTTGAACCACACACAATCCGCACTAAATCTCTTGACTTGAGGGGGAACATATGATAATAAACTAAACCACATGGTTAGTTTCAGGATGGATTGGATCCGTCAAATCCGCATTGGTCTAGTCGCCAATCCCCCGAGTCATCGAATACCTAGAATAATAGGATAATTGATGACCTTGAAGTCAGTGTATATAATGTGCAAAATTTTTCGCTTGCTTTATATAGAGAGAGAGAGAGCAGTAGTTAATAACAACAGCCCACCACCGACAAAATTCAAATTCAACTCCGATTTTTCGCACTTTCGCCAACTTGCACAACAGTTTCTCCCTCTCCATCAGAATTGCTCTCTCGAGATGATACTGCAGCATCCCTCTTCTTCTCACGTCTATGAATGAGGATAGAAGCCACGAAACCAGCCCATAAAAGAAAGTAAAAGACAAACGTCACCGGCCATCCTTTTCTCCATCTTGGGGCACCGTCCGGACCGGCTGTTGGGAAGAGAAGAAGGGGGACCCAGATGTTGAATGAATAGCCGAATGTCATCATGGAGCCCTGCAGGTTATCCAGCATTAGTATATGGTATGATATGATTTTTGGATCAGCGTACCAGGATGAGTGCCCGTTCTTCTGAGTCGTCTTTGACTATGGTATTCACGGTGGAGTATAAGATGGGACTCGCGCATCCCGAAACACCGAAGAGGTACCAGGCGAAGAATCTGCAATTGTTAGAGTATATAAGCATCGGGGAACAAGGGAATACTAACTTGAGAGCAGTGGGAATGTTCCAAATGATCATGCATAACGTTGAAAACAAGCAGCAGATCGAGATTATCGTATAGATAATCCACGCGGGGTAAATGGAAGCAAGGGTTGACCCCAGCCATGAAGCAACGATTTGGATAGCATAGATGACAGTCGGAAGATTGTTGGCTTGGGTGACCGAGTATCCCGCTGCCTTGAGCCAGAGACTCATATAGGTAGTTGGATAGGCGGAGATGATCATGCAGCTAATCAATTAGCATCTCCCATACATGCAAATATAGAATAACTCACGCATAGCAGAGAATAAAAACCCAAATATGCCACCGCTTCAACGACCGCTTGAAGACATCCAGTCCCAGCTTTCCGGGTCGTCGGATGTTGGCTCTCTTTGCCCTGTACTTGGCCAATGCGATGTCATCTTCTGTCAGATAAAACGGCCGTGGTGAGTCCGGGATACCGGGGAAGACGATGAAACCGATAAGTGCGACGGGAATGGTGAAGATGCCGTCGATAATAAATAGCCATCGCCATCCTGGCATGCCCGCTACTCCAGAGAGATTGGTGTATGCCGCTGATTGCAAATATCCGCTGACCATCGAGCCCAGCGGGTTACATACAAACCACATTCCGGCTCGCTTGTAGAGTTCTGGGCCAGAGTACCATGCTCCTTTATATCGTTAGTTTTTACACATGGTGTTATGAGAGGTACATACCCAAGATGAAATGAGTCCCCGCAAAAACAGGGGCTTCCAACATGCCAACCAAGAACCGAAGCGCATAGAGGTGACTAACGTTGGCCACGCGACTCTGTGCAAATGTGCAAATTCCCCAGAGTACTTCAAGGCCCGGAAGAAGCCAGCGAGCTCTGAATAGTTAGTTACTGTCCGTATAGATAGCAGAGGGATCGTTACAGTTTTGGACGCGACATTAAGAGCAGACCAGGGACCTGGAATACCACATATGCGGTATAATAGCAGACATTGAAATAGTTGAGCTGATTCCCATTGAGATCGAGATCCTCTTTGAGGCCACTGACGTAGGCATTGGTGATGTTTGTTTGGTCTGTTATCGTCAGTTTTATACGGGTTGATGGCTGTGAAGGACCTACCCAGGTACTTGACGAAAACTGTTTTTGTTAGCTGGATATATGCATATTATAAGGGAAGGACTTACAGCAGAGGCAGGCAAATATCAGAATAGAAACATCCAATTTAAATAGCAGCCTGCAGATGTCAGCCGTGAAGTATTACATGCATAATGCAGATTGCTCACTTTCTTTCTTCCGACGGATACGAAGATGGATACCAATTGAATATCTCTTTAACCAGTCGGACAAAGGTCAATTTCTCCGATTTCGAATTACCGTCCGACATAATGGCACATTTGCCTATAACCGATTATTGGCAATGGCTATCTTTATGTCCAACTTATATCTACGGAAATTGATCATTGGTGTAATTCCCCCACAACTTGTCGCCATCAATGGCAATTCGGAGATAAAATACAATAGATAACTTAAGACCACTTAGAGTTACAGAAGATCTTATCTTCGGGGATATTCCGTGAGGCTTATTGCACTGACACATGGCGTGCTGCCATCCCGGTATAACAACAGCATCGAGGCTTCATGGATAAATTGCGTGCTTTGCTTGCTAATCTCAACAACACAAGTGAGGGGTAAACGATATACAGATGAATATTTATATTCAGGTATGTGTAGGGCTGTGTTGCTTTATCCTGTTGAATAAGTGAACAAGTGCAAACACTCACTCATCATGCCTGGAAAAATCGAAATCGATCGATATGAACATGTCCCCGTGACAAAAGAAGAGCGTAAGTATTATCCATATACACTTACGGCCATTTTCTAAAATAAAAAGTCGACTGGGCTGAGTTGATCACGCTCGATCTCAGTCTGTACGAACAACCAGGAGGAAAGGAGGAGCTTGTGAAGCAGTTGGACCATGCCGTTCGACATGTCGGTAAGTATAAGCAAGCCCCTTGAATATAAAACCAGTACTCATATAGCAGGCTTCTTCTACGTCAAGAACTTCAACATCCCCCAAGAAGAGGTCGATCGCCAATTTGCCCTGGGACGTGCATTCTATGCTCTGCCACTCGAGGAGAAGCTCAAGTATCACAACAGCAATGATCTGGAGAGGGGCGAGTATAATGGGTACAGACCAGCTGGTCACCGCATGTAAGACCCCTTTACTGTAAGGTAATGGAAGAGTTGAGACTGATTGATCAGCCTTGGAAACGGCATCAAGGATAACGTGCAGGTATACAACATTCCCAAGTTCGACGGACACCACCATCGACAACAACCTGCGATTCTGGCAGATCACCTTGATGAGATCGAGGCTTTTAGTCGGGTATGCCATTCATCCATGAATGCATATATTTGATGAAACCATACTAAGCGATACAGAAATGCCACACAGAAGTGGTCGAGAAACTCCTCCGTCTCTTCGCCATCCTCCTCCAACTCTCAGATGAAGACCAACTCGTCCGCGACCATAAGTATGACGCCAAAGGCGAAGACCACCTTCGCTACATGCACTACGCCGCCCGCGGTCTAGAAGAGAATAAGAAAGTCGGCGATTTGTATAGTCCCGGCCATACAGACCTGGGAACAGTCACTCTTCTTTTCCGCCAGCCCGTCGCAGCTCTGCAAATTCTGAACTCTGAAGGCCAGTGGAAGTGGGTGCGTCCTCAGGATGGGACCATCACGATCAACACTTGCGATGCCTTGACCGCGTTGACGGGTGGTCTTATCAAGTCGAGTGTTCATCGTGTGCATGCCCCGCCGCCGGATCAGGCTCATGTTGATCGATTGGGTGTGCTCTATTTTGCACGGTAAGCTGGCTATTCACTACAGTCTTAAGGATTTATACTGATTTATTAATAGACCCAGCAACCATGTTATCCTCGATCCGATCCAGAACAGTCCACTGCTTAATGAACTGGGACTGACTCAGAACGTCTTTACGGAGCTTGGACAGCATCTGACAACAGAGCAATGGGTCAAGGTCCGACAGACGCAGCAACAGCGGCGCAGACAGGAGGCTAAGATTTCTGACGATGGGAAGTATACTTATGCCCCGAAGGACCTTGAGGTTATCCCTGGTTTGCATGCAAAGGTGTACAACTAGGTGGGTTTATATGCACAGTTGCTAGGTATATCGGAAGCTTTCAGTATATTTCTCATTTGTTTTTCCTATTTATTCATATTCATCACAAGAGATGTAGATGCATACTCGTAGTCCCCGGCCTATCGTATTCCCGGGTCTTATCGTTTCATGTTATCATTATTGGTTATTGTGCCCTAAAGCTATGACAGACCAGGTTTCGTGCACCGAAATTTGATTATTTATATAACGGAGATGACACTTAACCCATAGTGTGTTATCTCTCGATTGACCAGGCTTTGTATGGATTAATTTCTGAATTGAGGTTTCCAGTGCTGCATCATGGACTGGGACTATCTACGCCTCCATCATGTTATCTTGTGTGGAATCGTCAAAATTGCCTTTCTCACTCTAAAGCACTCGGCTTACTTGGTGCAAGACCTCCATGGAAGTCTAAAACTTCACAGTACCTTCAAGCACACATCATGTCAGCCCATGCTGCTATGTAGGTAGGGAAACACTCACGTTCTTTTCTTCCACTCTTCCGGCGAAAATTCCACTTCATCATATGACATGTCAATTTCTTGACTAGCTTCAGGTTCATCTTCTGAATCATGAAAGTTCACAAGATATGGGTGGGATAGGGCGTCTGTAGCAGTGATCCTCTTGTACGGGTCAAGTTGAAGCATTTTCTCGATGAGGTCGACCGCTTTCGTTTGTCAGCTTGACCTCTCGTTCAGATCAGGGAAAAAAAAAAAAAAAAAAAGGACTACAAACCTTCCTCTTCAACACCCGTGAAGAACAATGAAAACGGATGTGTCTCACGCGGTGGTAACGACTCCAGGAATTCCAGTGTCTGTATAGATATCAGCGCCTGAAAGTTCCGCTATTTAATATAGACCCTAACATTTCTGCTGTATACCCTCTCGACAACCTCCGGAGGCGGGTTTCCCAGAACTTGCGTGATAATCGTGAATTGGTCAATATGGTTTTGACCTGGAAAGAGAGGCGACCCCCGGAGCATTTCTGCAACAATGCATCCTACGCTCCACATGTCAACTGCATAGCTATATTGCTGCCATGTTAACATGACTTCTGGGGCCCGGTAATATCTTGTCACGACATAGCCGGTCATCTGGTGGTCTTGCTCCCGCGCGAGTCCAAAGTCACAGATTTTAAGATCACAGTTGTTGTTAACGAGGAGATTTTGGGGCTTCAGGTCACGATGGATAACACCGGCTGAGTGGATGTATTTCAATCCTCGCTAAGGCAGTCAGCTAGAATGTTCTTTCTTTATCACGCAAGACATACCAGGATCTGATAAGTAAAGAACTGGACGAATTGGCCCTCCAATGTTGTCGTTTGGATAACTTGATGCAGATCTGTCATCATAAAGTCTGTGACCAGATATCTACATAGATTAGCATTTTGCACGATGGTTGTCAAAGACCCAGGATACCGCCATACAAGTCTTCCGACGGAGAGATGAAGATATCATTCATATTGATAAGCTGGTCGATGTCAGCCTCAATTCATGTTGGCTCTGTTGGGTGCCTGTACATTATCATGTCGCAGTTTATTCAACAAGTGCACCTCTCTAAATGTACGCTTCATAACAGCGACATTATCAAACGGATTCGCAATCTTCTTGAGCACTACTGGGAGGTTGGATAGCGAATCGTGTGCGCAACTAGTGCCCTTGTTAATTATCCCATGGTGGAAGCTCATACGATTGATGACGACGTACCAGATTACACCCGAAGCGCCGAAGCCTCGTGGTTGGAGGTCGCTATATCTAAATAGAAGGTGAGCTTACTGTAGAAAGAAGGCCAAGACAGTCTTTACCTCTCGGTGATCTCATAAGTAGTCCCAAGGATTTCTGCGCGCACGAATTCACCCATGTTCTCGATAAGCCGAAAGGAAGGAAGAGTGACCTATGAGAAAAACGAAGTGGCCAAAGGAAATTCAGGGGGATACGATACGATCATGTACGTACTCCGTACTCCGGAGTATGCATATCTATCGATGGAGTTTTCTCGCCCCTCATTTCCTTGATGAAGCGGGGTCTCTCGGATCGTAGCTCAGAGGGGAAATCGGGAGTCGATTATTCCGGACTAACGAGGTCTATATGGAGAGGACTAGCTGGACAAAAGAGGTATATTGCCTAACGAACGTATGTGCGTGTACGCAGCTGATTAAGTGCTTGTCTATCTAAATGTACGTTCACGCTGGCCTATATCATCGGACCGGCGGAACTAATCGACATTATTCCTTATCACTTCATACCGGCCCAGCCCACCGGACTTCCACGGGTTATGTGGAGCGTAATTGGATCATCTTAATCACCAAACTCGGACGATTGTAACTCCTGGGATAGCTGATTGGCCTTGTGGGGCCTGAGACTTGAAATTTTTACATTTCCGGTAGTTTCTTCCATGCAATCATGGTCCAGATCCACGGTTAGTAAGTACTCCACGACGTTTTTACTCAAGAGTACGTATTATATTGAGAATGCTGGCCCGCGATCAATGGACTACAAGAACAATATCCTATCTACTGGTTTTTTTTTTTTTTTTTTTTTTTTTTTCATGCTATTTTGAGTGAGCAGGTGCATTTATGCGTCGCTCAACACCTCAACCCACTCCCAGTGGGCCGACTAGCTTTGCAACATCGAGAGAACGAGAGACCCTGAAGTTAGTAAGGAAGTTTCCTGGTGTAATTCTAGCTGCGGTGACAGACAAGAACGAGTGATCTAATCATGCATCCGCTTTTCTTAGGTATCTGCCGCCATATTGTTTGCAAGCGCCGTTCAGCCAGCATTTCTCGAATGAAACCCGGTACGATGAACATGTCGCATGGCCTTCTCCCGACTCGGCCCTTACAGCCTTCGCTCAGCTGGGCGCATTGAAATTTGACGCCCAATGGGCCATAATTTCGCTTTTCGGCCAGAGCCACCAATATGTCATTGCTGAAGCCACGCCAACATTCGGGCTATGGAACGAAGGCGACGCACACGACAGGCTATGGCACGGCGCCTGCACCGTTCCTTATGAGCGCAGTTTCTGCCAGTATGCCTTGGAAATACCTGTTGTTGATCGGCGACTGGAAGACAGTGTGTTTGTGTCAACGGACCTTACGCAGGACGATCGCTTCAAAAATCTTCAAGGTGTACTTGGTGTCCCCCATGCACGCTCTCTAGTCTGCATTCCGATTGTATCCCCGAAAGGTCTCACCATCGGGTCTTATACGATAATAGACGATAAGCCTCGCCCTCCAGTAAGCGAATCATTGGTGAATTTTCTGAAGAACATGAGCCAGACTGTCATGGATCATTTGATAAGTTCGCGGACCAACTTCCAACATCTGCGGGCGGAGCGAATGATCGTAGGAATCGGGAGCTTTCTCGAAGGAAAGGGCAGCCTTCGCAACGCATGGGTCGAGGCTACTACGGAACAGGAGAAGACCGAAGACGACAACGAAGAAGCATTTGAAGGACAGATCAATCAAACGCAGCAGGCCAAGCAAATAACGAATGACACGGCGCAAGCTATGCGAGAAGGTACATCGCCCTCCAGCAACCGATTAGCACCATCGCACGATCGCAGTCCACGCCTAAGTGTCGGCCAATCTCGCCCGCGACAGGGACGATTAACCAGCGCAAAAGATGGCCGAGCTGGTCCCACCAAAAGTCAACCTGGAAATAAAGCGAAAAGTGAGGATTTGTCAGGCCACATATCTGAGGCATTTTCCCGCGCGGCCAACATCGCCCGGGAGTCCCTGGAAGTCGAAGGTCTCGTCTACTTTGATGCTAATTTCAGATCCCGCAACGGTCTGGTCGACTATCAAAATTATGATTCAGATGACTCTAGTAACCCTCAGAGCTATGACGAGAAAAAGGTATCAAAGATGTCTAGATGCAAAGAACCTCACCTCCACAAATCCGAAATGCAGTCAGATCCGTGTCATATGCTCGGATTTTCCACCACAAACTCATCCAGCATCAATCACGAATTTGAAGACGGCAGGATAAACAAAATGCCCGAGTCACTCTTGAGGCGTCTTTTGCGCCATTATCCCCGAGGCAAGATCTTCAACTTTTCAGCAGAGGGATTGGTATCGGAGGATGATTCTACTGACAGCAAATTCAAGATTTTCTTTCAGAAAACCTCTGGTGCCCAATACAGGAGCCAGAAGCCTACGCGCAAGTACAAGAAAACGCGCCCACTGGTCTTACGAGAAGACGCTGCCGCTCTACTCCTGTTGGCCCCTCATTCGCGCAGCATTATCTTTGCACCATTGTGGGATCCGCACAAAAAGAGGTGGTATTCGGGCTGTATAGCGTGGACCAGAACCCCGCATCGTGTCTTTACATCTGATGACGAACAGAGCTTTTTGTTTGCACTTGGGAACAGTCTGATGGCTGATGTCCACCGGTTGAATGCTGAGTTTGCCGGGCGCGCAGCGTCAGATTTGCTGTCAAGCCTAAGTCATGAGTTGAGATCACCGCTGCACGGGATATTCGGCACTGCAGAAATTTTACGAGACAGAGTTGCTGCTCCCTCCCAGCTGGCAATGATTCATACAATCGAGTCTTGCACCAACACACTATTAGATACTATTGACCATCTGCTCGAGTACGCCAGTATCAACAAGCACTCAAAGTCAACCAAACGTCTATTGAAGCAAGAAGCGTTGAGTGGCTCGAGATCTACGGTGATGCTTGACGAGGTTCTTGAGGAGGTCATAGAAAGCGTCTTTGCAGGTTTCACTTTTCTCGAATTTGGATCTGTTCTTCAAAGAGCAGCCACGCCTGGAGGCATTGCACCGCGGAGACACGAACAACCAGTATCTGTCGCGAACAAGAAAGTGATTCTGGATATTCAGCACGGAGTAAATTGGCACTTCTTGACTCAACCTGGCCGGTGGCGACTTATCTTGATGGATCTTTTCGGAAATGCTTTGAAGTTCACTCGGAGTGGATTCATTCTCATAACTGTCGTTGCGTCTCCTGTTACTGCCCAACAGGATTCATCAGAATCGGCAACTGAGAGCAAGGTCACAGTCACCGTGAAAGACACAGGGTCCGGTATCGATCCTGAATACTTGCAGTATGACCTTTTCGAAGCCTTCTCACAAGAAAATGTCCTCTCCAGCGGAAACGGTCTAGGCCTTCATGTGACCCAACGAACTGTATCAGCTCTTGGTGGTGACATTCAGGTGTTCTCCCAGATGGGGCTCGGCACGGAGATTGTCACAAATGTGACTCTACAGCACTCTCCAGACTTTGCGCCCCCTGATGCGCTGGATGCAAATTCAGTCATCAAGTCTGCAAGGGAGCTCTCATCGGGTAAATCGATTGGTATTATAGGATCCAGTCCTTCGGGTACGGATGGTGCTCTGTTTCTAACCTTAGAGAGGCTCTGCCGCGATTGGTTTGGTATGACCGTTCGCGAAATTGACCTATCCAGGGGCAATGTTGACCAATGCGACTTTTATATCGCCATCCAAGATGATCTGGATTTAGAAGTCCTCCAAAACACTAACCCAACTAAATGCTTGGCCTCCCCTATCATTATTCTTTGTTCGTCTCCACAAACCGTGAACACGTTGTGGTGGAACGCCCAAGAAAAGGAACTTGCAAGCGTGGTCGAGTTTATCAGTCAGCCATGTGGGCCTCGAAAGATGGCCAAGACACTGCATTCATGCATCAAACGCCAGCACACTCGAGGTGGCTCTGCTAAGATCAGAAATGCAGCCCAGCCGGCCTACAGTAGCAATGCACGGCCAATGTTCAAACAAGCAGAACAAGGCGTGGCATATGAGAGTGACAACTCGTTCCCTATCCGGTCTGAAGCAAATACACAAAAAGCTTTAGCTCCTTCCATTCCTCGGATCCAGGAAAAGCCATCTGACCAGCATATCGATGACCAACACAAGAACTTGGATAGGACCGTCCAAGTCCCCGACAATCCAGCATCAACTGTTCTCATCGTGGACGATAACGACATCAACGTTCGGATCCTGGTCGCATGTGTCAAAAAGCTAGGTTATAACCATATCATTGCGCAGAATGGATTGGAGGCTTTCGAAGCTTTTAAAGAAAATCCGTCTCAATTCAGCCTAGTCCTGATGGGTCAGTATATGCGTGATTTTGCTCTATTCCGAAGCAAGTGCTTACTAAAGATCCTGCAGATATCTCCATGCCTGTTATGGACGGTCTCGATTCAACGCGTCATATTCGCATTCATGAGAGACGGCTTGGGAAAGCGAAGCCTGTGATGATAGTTGCCCTTACTGGCCTTGGTCAAGCAGAAACCGAGCGTGACGCCATTGGATCAGGAATGGATATGTTCCTGACGAAGCCTGTGCCTTTGAAGGTTCTGAAGCCGATTATTAACAAGAGAATGTTAACTATGTGATGAGTCGAATTAAACGACATGCAGATGTGGTTTCGTCTTACAAAAGCTTTCGCTGGTTGCCCAAGGCAATTTTCTCGCAGTGACCCTTTTAGGTCACTCATTGATATGTCCATGTAGCGTGGCCAATGCATACAAACACTTTGTTCATATCTTTCAAGATTGTATCCTGCAACACCTTCCTTATGTCATTATATGATGGTGCTCAACCTGCTACTAAGACATTAGTTACACGGAACATTAGACAAGGGTTGTCACAGCACTGACTCTGAAGGTTATCCTGCTCTAATAATTCAGTGAACTTTGCATACAGTCAGCTCTCAACCCCCTCCATGGCATCCAGCGCCTTTTTCGCCGCTGCGCGAGCTTCCTCAGACAAACCCTGCCCACCTCCGGTTGATATAGCACCCCATCTCTCCATCCAGAATCTCCACCACTCCTCTAAATATCCCTCATCTTCGTTGACATCGTGCCAAAGCGCTCTCACTTTCGACTCCCTCGTGCTTATCGATCTAAGAGGCTCCGAATACCCATCCTTGCAGCGCCGATATAATTCACCCGCCGCGTAACTGAACAACTGCGCAGCACATTCTACATGCAGGTTCAAAATATCGCGCTCGCGCTCGCTCTTAGGCTCGTGTTCGAACTCCAACGCATCCACAAAAGTGGTACTGGCTCGATCAAGCCCCACCCCATATGAGGATAGCGGCTCGTCGCCCGTCGCGGCGAGACGGGCTGTGTAGGCATTTGCGCCGATCCAGGCTTCTCTGCGAGCGGCTTTCTCTTCATTGCTTCTACATGCTTTAAGGAAGTAATTGGAGGCGTGGTGATTGAAATTGTCTGCCCAGTCTGTAAGTTCGCGCCAGATAAACCCGTCGTGGAAGTCAAAAACATCCTCGTCGTCGCCCCTCGGCTCGTCGATTTTAGGGAATGTTCGGATTGTCTGTAAGATGGCGATTACTTTGGGCTGTGAGGATAGTAAATATACCGCGGTGTCGTTAACGAGGGTCCAGAGGCCGGCAAGCCACTGCTGCAGCTCAACGGGCGTCGGGGATGCTTCTGGATGTGCGGTTAGCTGCTTCGCAGCTTCCTCGGTGGTGAGAATTTCCTCTACCAAGCAAGCTTTGGGAATATTGATCTGGGTATCTGTGGATGTTGTACTGTGCATAGATTGAGGGGGCTTTGGCGAAATACTGGGATGCCATGCTGGGTCGAACGGGTCAGACAATGCAGAGAGTACAAGGTTGAGGCTCAAGGCTGACGGAGTGATGTCATCTTACATGAACTATACGAACCCTTGTCAGATATACAGTGGCATAGTAGTACTGGCATCCATGTTCGGGTCCATTCCGGTGAGCTTTACAAGTATACGGTGTAAACCTACGCCTCAGTAGGCACGGGTTGTTCCGGTCTCACTTCTTATAAAAGCAGTAAATTGTTGCTAGAATTTGCACAATGACACCTCCTACATCGTTGCGCTATATCTTACCATGAAATACCCTTTGTATTCATCACTTCTCCTAGCCCTTCCAGTAGCCCTAGTGGCTTCGGAAGCTTTCGGGGACAGGGAATCTCTCCTCAAAGACAACAAGGCCTGGTATCTGACGGATACCCATATTCACGCTCTTCCGCCAGGTTACAAAAATGCTGTTGCGGATGCTGGTGGCGATCCATCTGGCTTTCACACCCCGGATTGGTCTGAGGAAGGCACGTTGGAAAGCCTGAATTTGACCGGATCTGCTCGGGCGGTGCTCTCGGTCTCAACACCAGGAATACCCATCGCTGGCACCGGCCAGCAGGCCCGTGATCTCTGCAGAGAAACAAACGATTATCTCGCCGAACTGGTGAACAAACATCCACTGCATCTGGACTTCTTTGCTGTCCTTCCGGATTGGCGAGATGTAAACGGCACCCTCGAAGAGATCGACTATATCTACTCGACCCAGAAACAAGCTGTCGGTGTGACACTCTACACCTCGTATGGCGATCTCCTTCCCGGGGACGCCATGTTCAAACCAATCTGGGATAAACTAGAAAGCTACGGCGCCTTGGCCTTCATGCACCCAGGAACCATGAACGTAAAGCCCTTTTTCATCGGCGGATTCCTCCCCCAGCCCATTATCGATTACCCTCAACAAACCACCCGCGCCGCCATGGACCTCGTTATCAGCGGAGTTAGATCAAACACGCCAAACGTCGACTTAATCCTCTCACACGCCGGCGGCACCCTCCCATTCCTCGCTCAGCGCGCGTACGGCGGTCTCATCGACGGAGACGTTTCCAAGAACAGTTCCGTCGATGCGGCGGAAGCCTTGGTCCAGTTCAAGCGCTTTTACTACGACACCGCGCTGAGTAACTCGCCTGCCCAGCTGAGTGCGCTTCTGTACAGTGTCGATCCGTCGCATATCCTTTTGGGAACGGACTATCCATACGTGCCTGCGGAAACCATCAAGGCTAACTTTGAGGAGTATATTGAGTTTTTGAAGACTCATCCGGCGATTTCGACTGATGTTTTGACGCAGAATGCGATGGAACTGGTTTTGAAACATGCTCTGTGGAAGTGATCAGGGTATTGTGTTGTGCTGGAGTGTCGTTTACACGTTGTATTTGCTTTGGGTGCATTAACCTCGTTTCTATTATTTTTTCTTTCTACCTGTAAGATGTCTCCATCCGTGTGCAGCTTTAATTCTCATAGTCTATCTTTTATATAATAGGAAGCTTTTCATCTGTACGTGGTCATGGTACGATATCATTTACTATCAACACGTAACCTCTCGTACTTGACAATCTACGAAAGACCCCTTTAAAAGCAAAAATAGTAATAGTCGTTGATATAAACACTCTGTCTAGAACCGAACGACTCCGAAACTACTAGTAGCCATATATTGATGCTAAATAGCACCGTGGACTTTGCCTGCAGAGCTCCGAGCTTAAACAATATGTCTATGGACGAGACGAGCCATCTCATATGTCTTTTCTTTAACCACCACAACGCGACGGGTCAGATACCGATTTCTATTGATGACTTCAAAGCCCCAGGCCTATTCGATGTGTTCATGAGTTAGTAAAGTAGCGATAAGCTTTGCAGTAATCAAGAAAAAAACATGTAGGGAGTTTTCACCTGCTCAGCAGTCCATCCTAATTCCTCATTCCGCACAAAATCATGCATATACAACTTCTCTTCCCTACCGCCACTAGTATCCTTTGGCCCCGTTCCAGCCCCACCCCTCAAGAACCCAACCACACGCTCTCTATCAGCATCAGATCCCTCCTTTACCTCCGATTGCAAGTGTAAATCCGGCCGCAACATCCCATCCACATCTTGGACGCCATCAATCAGTCTGCTGCGGTCGATACATTCACCAAAGATAAAATCGCTGTGAAGCTTCTCGGTCCAGTCCAGGGTTCGGTTTTCCGTTGAGCCGGGGATGCCTCCTGTTATCGTTTGGGCTATGACTAGGTGCGTGGTAAACAGCTCGGAAGGGTCCGGGAAATTTGGTTTCGGTCGAGGTGAATTGTAGTGTTGGGTTTGCGGTTGCGATGGCTTTTGGGGGGAGCCAGTTTATGACTTGCTAGAATGAGGGAAGAGTCGGTTAGTTTGTTTCTTTAGCCTCGGTTGATAACATTAAACAGAGGAATTTGATTTCGAACCCATAGGCTATGGCGATGGAAAATTATATAACCTTACCAACTTCAGTATCGCACTCGGATCATCTGAAAGGTCTTTGTCCTAGTGTTTTCATCTCAACTCAGTTACCTTGACATGCAAGCAAACACACGATGTAACGTGGTGTGTGTGCACTTACCATCAACCAGAGGCCATGAAGATTCTGGATGCTCATATCAGACGATATTGCCATGATGAATATCAATGCTGTTGAGGGTATAGTGTGTCACAAGATTAGGCTGCCAGGGGCTTAAATATGGTATCAGCAGTCAATTAGTTGCTATTATTGAGTATATACAGTCACTCCTCACAAAACTGTGGTCACGGGTTGTTTCCGGTAACTATGAATTTGACCCAATAGAATCCCAGAATAAAGACTGTAGCCAGTCTATCTCCATTCCCGACTCTCCCGTAGCCTGTACATTTTGAGACATTCCCACTGATGTGTCGGATGTGATAGCACTTTGTGCGCCGGGAGATCTTGCGTTCTCCACATCGGGGGCTGCGAAAGTCGTCGTTTGAGTCCATGCCGGGTTAATTCCGTATTCATTGGAAGGAAATGTTGGATTAAGGTTGCTCGCGGTAGTCTCTTCGAAGTCGAAATCGCCCATTACGATGTTTGTAGGTTCGGGGTTCCAGATATCTTCAAATGCAGCGAGATCGTGTAAGCCGGTGTTTGTTGAGTAATAGTCGACAGAGCTATTAGGAATTCCGATCTGTTGGGCTTGGGTATTATCGTTGGCTTGTGGAATCTGTCGGTTATCAAGCGCGTTCTCAGAGAGAAAAGATGTATTCTGTTGGAGATTCATGTCAGGAGCAAAATACGGCTGCTTCGACGGACGGTTTGCCAATGCGGACTTCCGGGCCTCGCCAACCTCACGAGAGGCTGGTCGACTCGAACCATCTCTCATCACACACGTAGCCATCTGATTCAACCTGTAAATCGACCGCGCCATCCTCCCAGAAATCCACGTCTGACGACAATACGTTCTCAACACCCTAGCCGCTTGCAGTGTCGCACTGCCATAGGCAGCTTTGAACGAAGGTTCCTTGATAATCAATCCCAGGGAGATCATAGTAGCCGAAACAAAGTAGTGAAGGAACGTAAATGTAGAGCGGATACGTTCTTTTGGGAACTTGGTTAGTCCCTGGATCATGTTTTGGGCTATGTGCATGCAGGTAACTTCGTTTTCGGGGCTGTCTGGGATAGGACTTGGTGGAGAGATGGCTCGTTGGAGCATGGGTTTGCGGATGAGGAGTTGGATGGAGTACCAGCGCTGTTTTGTCAGTAAGGTCATATCTGGGGCTGAGGGACTGGCACGTACAATATGCATCAACATCCGCTGCTTGGTACGCCACCACGGGGCTTTGCTCAATTTCCAGTTCAACGGCTGATTATAATATTGAAAGAATTCGGGATTTATCTCCTTCTGAGCTCTGAAAATATGCTGCTCTAGAGACTCGCGTAGAAGAGGACTCGGAGCCGTCTCGGTCCTGCCAACGCTGTACATTCCTTCCCAGACTCTGCCAACTAGACGCGAGTAGCTGATCATAGCATTAAGATATGATACCGCTGTCAAAGGAGCTCGAGCTACTTCTGCCTGGAGATCAGGCTCAATTTCACGACTTGTCCTTGGATCATCTCGACATCCCGTAAGCCAATCATCACTAAGCTCTCGAGGCAGGGGCGTGTCGATGTTCACGTCTTGAATCAAAAACGGGTGGCCTGTATCAATAGCCAATCGTCGATCCATGAGGTAAGTGCACCACCAAACGCGTCTGACCATTTCACTATTGAAAGCAGATATACCCTCGACAACTTTGCGTCGATGTATACCAAGATTATGTGAATGCGTGATGGCGAGGGCTAGTACTTTTTCTGCGCTTTCATTCGCGTCCAAACGGAAGAGATATATGGCCTGAGTCTATTAGCAAGGCTCAAGAACATAATGCGTGGTACATACTATCAAAACCAACGTCTGCAAAATCAATTTCGGACTTGAACACTCTCGGCAACTGCTCAACAGGTCTCCGATTAAATGCATTACGGCGTCATAAAGACTCCAACCGGCGGAGTGTCTGCCGTCCTCGCCGTGTATTCGTGCTGACTGAGTACATCTTCCAATCGCGAGACAAATCCAGACTTGAGCGATAGTGAAGCGAGAATCATCGCGGCCAAGCTCACACTCTGGAGAAAGAAGGTGTTTGTCCCACATTTCGGTATAATTCAGTCGTAGAGTTGGTACATGAAGCATCGGGTAAAGAATATGGACTTCCTCACAAAAGGTGTCCAAGAACTGATCCCAGCATCGTCTATCCGGCTCAATGTCAACGCCGCTCAAGACCTGTCTGATATAAACCTTCTCATGGCGCTCATCATCATCATCCCGATGTGGAACTGGCGACGGGGGCAAAGACGTCTTTGCAGTCTGAGAAGTTGCAGCAGGATTCCTGTTTTCATCTGCACCTCCAATATGTGCCAAATGGTCTTCAACCTGATCCAGCGTGTGCGTGATAGACGTCTCACCGGAGAACATCGGCACTGAGCTCTTCGGTGGACTCTTAATGCTTGAGGAACCAAGCGAGCGTGCATGATTTATACGGTGGTCTTGCGGGCTCACTACTTCAGAAGTAGGGCCATTGAGTCCACCAAATCCGCGAGATATAGATGACACGAGTAAGCTAAGTTGGTTCTCGATCCGGTCCAGCCGGACAGCCAGTTCTTTTGTCGTGGGACTGTATGCATTTAGTATCTCCGACTTTGGGGCTGGAGGATTGAGGATGACAGCCTGGTCCTTCTCCTGATCGCCTGGAGAGTGAGATCTCTCCAACGCCTCATCCGGAACTGTCAGTCCACGTCGACGCATATCAGTAGCCTCCCGATGGCACTCTCTGCCTTTAACCGCACATGCCCGGCATGGGAGTCTTCCATCACACTGGACTGGATTAATATCTGACATCATGCATCCAGGTACGCCAATCACCATACCTTGATCTTCCTCTTCTGACACTCATCACTAGATCTGACTCAGCATCTACATTCATCCGTACCAAAAACGATGGAACACACCATGCCTTGGAGACATATCTCCCACGCTTTTGCCGTTTCTGCGGAGGTTCATCAGGCACATCTCCGCTGCCATAGCCTAAAGGTTCCTCGATTTTTGAATCCGGCATCATCCAAATCAATATACAAAAGGAATGAAGACGTGCCATAGAGCCAACAGATCAACTGAAGTCCAATCTGCTTATCTAATGCACTAGCCTTTTTGGGAATAGCCACAGGTGTGCAGTACTTGTATGATTAGACTGTCCTTGTTTACTTTTCTCTATTCCTTTTGTGAGATTGTTTTATAGCTCGCTATTGCCTTGTTTCTCTGCTTGCACGGAGGACTGATGGGATACTATAATCTGTGAGCAGCGCAGCAGAACGATATGGAAGCTTGCAATGGTCCGAACCGTGAAGTATTTGCAAAGGACAAGGAATCTTCACACTTGAAACAATCCAGCATAATATCAATTGCTCGCTGATTCTACAATAATATCAGTGTCTAGTCCAATCTACTACTTTTCGAACCGGTGCCTGAATCTCCAAACCAAACCCTAAGTGGGCCACATGCAAGATGCCGTTAAGCTTATTCTATTTACCAGTAAGATAGCATGACCGCAGACTATGTGATGAATTAAGCAGCCTGGGGAGTATGGTGCTTCGTAACTATATACAGGGTATATTCTGACCATTCGATTATCCGATTATAGATTAATGCAAGGTCCTGTCCAGTTCCAGTGCTCTTTTTGAGCGTCAGTGTCCAGAGCTTATCCAATTTTTGCAGCTTTGCATGTCCAATCGCAAGGGAAACCACACCGGTAGACAATGTTGATATGACTGGACCCGGGTCGATGATGAGGACGTTTAGAAACCTTTCTTGGGAGTGTGAAGACAACATGTCCAAAAGATGGGAGTCGCGGCGCGGCAATGGACGGGGGGGTATAAATGCCTCTGAACCACAGCTCATGAAACCTTAGGCCGCTTAGCATTAGGAAACCCAGATGGCCCACGAGACCGCTTCCGCTCCGTAGCCTCCATCTCAGCCTTCATAATCCTCTCCTGCTCCGTCATCTTCTTCGGAGCCTCCATAACCGGTCCCTTCTTCCCGGCAAGCGGGTTCTTCTTCGCAGCCGCCGCGAACACGTTCTTCGGTTTATTCCCACCGCCAAGAGACATGGAGATTTTCGGTGCTGGTGCTGGCGCGGCCTCGGCGGGTGGAGCAGGCGTCTCTGCAGTCGGAGCAGCGGCAGCTTCTGGTGTTGTCGATTTATCTTTCTGCTCAGGAGACGGCTGTTTCTCAGACTCAGGCTTCGCGCCGAACCCAATATTCAACTTGACCTTCTCGCCGTCCTTCCGCTGCAGCAACTTTGCCTCGGGGTCCGATTCATCCTCCTTATCCGCATTCTTTTGCGCCCGCTCAATCTGCTCCTGGATCTGCTTCTGCTCCCGTTCCTCATCACCCTTGTCCTGTCGTTCTTTTCTCATGATGGTTTCGCGTCGCTTCATTGTCTCGGGGCTGTTATCGATCCACGACACGAACAGGCCCTTTTCCGTTTCCTCGACGCGGCAAACCCCTTCCCGGCCCAGGTGTGCGGCGAATTGCGTTAAACTCTTCCATTTCGTCGCGTTCATGTGAATGTGCTGTTCACCCCGTTAGCCTCAACCCACCAACATCACATTATATCCCTCCAGGGAAGAAGGAAAGAAACTCACATGTTTATCCTGAATAACCTGCTGATAGAATTGATTGACCTGCACTTTCTTCTCGCCATGCGTCGTGCGCAGCATATTCACAAAGTTCTGCGCAAACTCCTTGCTATAGTCTTCGATGTATTTCTTCGGATCCTCCCCGATCAGCAGTACTTGTCGGACGTGGCTTTCACTTTGGACGTGGCTGCACCACGTTAGCACATTATCCTCACCATTTCCATCTCCGGATCTTTAAAGAGGAAGGGGGGAGGGACTCACCATTTAAACCCATTCTCATCGCGCATCTGCTTCTCGCATGCTTGGCAGTACCAGCGCAATCGGCCTAGACCTTTCTGTTGTTTGTTAGCTTCGTGCTCGTTCTCGTGGTCATGTCGCAACATGCTCGGCAACGGGTAATAGGGAAACGCACCGCTTTCATGCCATTGCTGATGGCCTTGTTGCTTCCTGCTTCTGCGCGCGGCATTTTCGCTATCGATTAATGGGAATCTGAAAGGATAAGGATGCGATGTTGTATGGAGAGTGAGATGAGGAAGATGGTGTGGCGTCAGGCGAAGAGACAGTGGCTGATGGATTATGTAAGGTCACGTGTGATAAGGGGTTTTGATATAGACTACTGATCCTATCTGGATTGAATGCTTTTTAAAGAGACGATAAAAACTCCGTACACTAGGGGAAACCACATAAAACATAAAAGAAAAGAAAAGCGTTCCTATCCCATCCTGTAGCAAAGAAAAACAGAAACCAGTCATAAATGCTCATCTATCAATCACAGAATATACTCATGGATCGCCGACGGTCCATTCTCATTATAATCAACCCGGCTCATAAATCCCTTACTAAGACCCTGGTCGAGAATGAAAATGACCTTCGAAGCCACCTGCGCACCCAAGAACACCGCTTCTTCCATCCCGTGACCCGTGCTGGGTTGACTAGGTGCACCAGGGCCAGGGGCGTTGCCGTTGCCGTTCCCACCGCCGCCGCCTGCGCTGGCTCCGGGGGCGTTGGAGTTGGCCTGTTCTTTCCATTCGGAGAAGTACTCAGGGTGCTTGACGGTTTTGACGGAGGTGGGGGTTTGGGAGTGGCCGGTGGGGCGGTAGAGGAGAGATGGGTCGGCGGAGGGTGTGCCCATGTGGGACATGCCGGGGTTGCCGGCGTGAGTTGCTGCGACGAGGAGGGGGTTTACGCCTTGGCCTGCGAGAGGGTATCCGGGTGCCGGGGTCGTGCTGCCTCCGGTTGGAAGGGGAGTGGCGAGGTTTGAGGGAATCTCAGACGAGAACATGCTGGCAGAGGGTGAGAGGATGAACATTTGCGTGATGGTTCCGAGCAAAGATTGTGTGAAGCCTAAACCGTTAGCAACTGATAACCTAGTGAAAACTAAGGCAACCAACCTTTTATCTTACTGCCGTTACCAACCACAATCAAAGAATCCCAGAGCTCGCTGCGCTTCGACGCATCAGGAACTGAAAGGATAGTATGGTGAATCTGCGTAGCGATATCCACAAGAACACCACTAGAAAAGCGCTCGCCAACCTTCTGCTTCGGGGTAGCAGAAAGGAAGCGCTCCACTCCAACTTCGATATCACGCTGCTGGCGGATATACCGGCCGGATGCGTTGCTGTTCTCCTCCGATTGAATCGGTACTAATTCCTCAAACTGGAAGGAAGCCTTTTCTTTCTTCGAGTTCGGAAGACGGAGGGCTCTGGCGGCTTGTTCGGCAGCAGTGCCCTTCTTCGCAGTGCCCCTTTCCTTCTCGATGCTGGCTAGGTACTCGCTGGTGTTTCCGCTAACGATGGCTGCCACGTCCAGCACACCCTCGTCTTCGCCATCTGCGCCTTCCTCGCCAGTTTGAGTGCTGTCGCCTGGGCCACGGGGGACGTTCTCATTCGGTGCGCCTCCTTCTGGTGCGCCGGTAGACGCCGATGCAGCCGGGTTGGCTCCTTGTCGTGCAGTTGCAGCGGCACCAGGTAGCGGGGTTCCGGGTGGTAGAATCTCCGTGATATTGCTCCTCTTCAGCTGTTCGCACATTTCCCTGGTAAATCCCTTCGAACCCAGAAGCTCTTCAATTCGATCCGTCATATAATCACCACCGCACCCCTCAAGCGCAATACCCCGCCCATGCTCATTGACCAGGAAATCCGTCACAGCCGTAACGTTGACCTTTCCCTTTCCAACATCAACCACAGTAGCCGTCTGAGTCCCGTATCCGTAGCAAACAGCCAGCGCGGAATCCATCAGCGAAAACGCAGGTGTTTTGAACTTCTCGAACACAAACTGCGTAATCGCCTCTCGATCCCGAGCAGTCCAAACCGGTTCCGAAATAATCATAATCGGCGTGTGAAACGGGGGGCTAAGCGTATTATGGATATGCGTAAGAAGGGCGAAAAAGCACGGCCAGTCGACAATCCGCCCGTTCTCCATGGGATAAACCGCTCCCTCGTCAGACGTGACGTCCTCCTCGAACACAATCTCCTCCGTAGTCTCCTGCTTGCCACCTTCGCTTTCTTGTCCCTCAGTCTTCTCCTTCTCCGCTCCCTCTGTATTCTCCGTCTTGGTCTCCGGTGCAGCGTCCGCGTCCTTCATATCCACATCCACCTTTGGCGCCGGCGTCGGCGCCCCATTCCCGCCGGTATTCTTAACAATCTCCTGCCTCTTTTCGCGGATTCGGTGCGGCTCATATTCACCCTGTTTCTCAGCCGGGAACATGCGCGTCGGGAAGCGAAAGCGAGCGGGCGTGAAGGACTCGGGCAGGCCTAGTTGCGCCAGGGTCACCTGCGAGCCTGGCGCGATGAGCTGCGCCCGTTAGCATGACTTATTCAAGACTGTGGTAATAGAAAGGGAGGGAGGCATACTAGGACATGCTCATCTTTAAACGGCGGCATACTGTATACCGTGCTCTGGTTGGCGTGGAAGATCAGTCGCAGTGGAAGCTCTCCGCTTTGCGCGTAGGTTCGCCGCTGCCGTGTTGGGTTTAGCGCGTCTTGCCGTTATGGAAGATATGCCAGTTTTAGCACAGTGATAATTGCTGGTTCTGGATGTTCAAACAGATGGTATTTGTCTATTTTATCATTTAGATTTGCGCTATTCTTTTAGTTCTCTTGTTTTGCCTTTGTCACGTGATTGACACCCGGATCATGACTATGAACATCTACAAGGATATATTGCTCAGTGAGAATTGAGAGATTGGTATTGTGGATAGCGCTATTGAGTAGACACAGTGAGGTGTACTAACCGTTGTTGTTCTATAACAGTTGTATACATTTCAATACACATCGCGCCAGCAGCTTGGACAGGTGACATTTTGATCGTCGAGTGTTCGACACATTCTATTAGACAATTGTGATTAATTACATATGCAAATATGTATAGAAGGGAATGCAAATGACTGATCGTCTCCCATGCGGGTCATAACCCATGCGTATGCGTTGGAATGGTACTGTACGATGCCAGTTGAAGGGCCAGCATAGTTATGTTCGAAAGCTCGCTCAATGATGAAAGCAAAAGAATAGAGCCCCGTGGACTGGTGAATCACCGAGGAAGAAGCGCATTTCCACTAAACAAATCAGCATATATCCCAAATCAAGTTAGAAGGAAAAGAAAATACCCCAACTCCTCCACCGCATGCTCCTTCTGATGCTCCGGCGCAGTAACCGGCGCCGGCGCAGGCTTCGGCGGCGGACTCGGCGCAATCCAGAAAGTCGGATACCTCCTCTGAATATTATTCAACAACATCGCAACAACCATAATAACCACCGACGACAGCAGCACAACAGGCAAAAAGTACCACGAAAGCTCCCAAATAGCATCATCGACAGCGGGAAGAAGAGCTGTTGCTCCCGCCGGCGGATGCGTGGTCTGAGTGACCTGCATGACTACGATGGCGACTGCTGAGGAGAGCGAGGCTGCTAGCCAGCGGAGCGAGTTGAAGCGTTCTTCGTCGGGCATTAGGCTGAAAAGCTTTGTTATGCAGATGCCGACTAGGGCGCTTAGGAAGTGGCCGAAGATTAGGGCGCGGGGTTGGGCTAAGGGGGCGTCGATTGCGCCGTAGCAGAGGACGGCGGAGGCGCCCTGTCATTGTTAGTTTTGTAAACTTGACAGTTGACAATTGAGGTTGTAGATGCCAAAGCATAATCGTTGCTTGGCTGTGGACGGACCATGTAACGGCTGCCACAAAATCAAAAAAAAAAAAAAAAAAAGCTTACAAAGGAAGCGACAATGCCTGGTACATGGCGACGCTCAAAATACGACGAGTAATTGAATATCGCTTGCAACACACATAAACCACAAAACGCTGCGAAAAAAGACCATATCCAGACCAGATACTGCGGCAATGGTTTGGGGGGGGTCGGCCGATAGCCAAACCAGTGGCTCACCCAGCGCGGGAGCCGGGGAAGGATGTTAACTGTGGGAATGTCGATGGTCATGCTTCAATTGAGGAACTGAACTGAAGACGGTAATGAACAATAGAGAAAAAAATACAAAAAATAAACACTCAACAAATGAAGTCTTTGCCATTTCTACCATTCCCAAAGCGGAAAACCAATTTGTCATAGAGCGAGTCCCCGGCAAAGAAAGAAGCTTCGGCATTCCACCGGACGCCCGAACTTTTAGGGACTGCTTAAAAACGACACATTCACCGGAGTGCCTGGTGCTATGGAGGCACCGCGCAGAGATCCTTGCATAGGGTAGTAAGCCCCTGAATCATTGAAATGATTTTGGTCGCGGCATGGCTGCATAGGACTGTCATTCTTTCAAAGCCCGGCGTCTGATGTAGACTGGGAATGACCGAGTAAATTCCAGCGGACGGTATTGGTTGACAGATCGACCCACGAACGCCATAGTAGTATGGTGTTCTTTAAATCAAAGCATCGCCGTTTATATGCAGGAACAAAGTAGTATCGCAAGATCTCTTGCGATTTTATTGGCAAACCGAACCGATTTCGAGCAATCATGTACGGGCCGTTTCAGCATAATGCAGTCTTCCGAGACTCGGATGGTTTGTAACGGCGCACCGGTAAGGGTTGTTGGTATCATTGAATATAAGACAGGAATGGTGTTCATGTTCTGGTATACCGGGCCTTGCGCCCTGCTGATCGAGCGATGACCAGTGAACACAATTGAAGATCCAAGAAGCTCGATAAGAGATATCATGTTATGCGGAATGCCATAGAATGCGATATTAGGACAATAAGAAAAACCCGCTATCCCATTTTCCAATCGCGGTCAAAGCCCAGAACCATTAACTCCAAAACCAAAAGACGAACTCCAAATCCAAATATGTATGCCCAGTGACCAAAATTCGAGTACTCATTCCGGAGCAGCGTTGTACTTTTCCGTCGCAGACCGAAACAGCTCCTGCTGCTGTCGTAGAAGTTCCTCCTCGGACAAACCGCTCTGCTCCATCTTGCTCTGTTTCTTTTCCCGTGACTACATCGCGCGTCAGTAACGATTCCTCTTCCTCAACTATAGACAAATCCACGCGTAGAGTGAAAGCGTACCTTCAACTGTTCCTTGTGCTCCTCTGCAACAGCCAAAACATCCGGGATATAGTCACCAAACCCAAGATCGCGTAGTGCCCTCTCGACGTGTTCGCAGGCGATGGTCTTCTTTGCCTCCTTTTCGCTGATATCGTTGGCTTCGGATGAGATCAGGGTGATGAATTCGACGCAGCATTCCATGAGCAGGTCGCGGGCATCTTTGGAGAAGGTCTGGCCGGAGGAGTAGGGGAGGATTTCGGTGATGATTTTCTGGACGGTCGCTGCGCTGGTTAGTCTCTGCTCGCGAATGGCTAGAGAGATGAAGACATACCTTTGGGAAGCGACAAATCGTCGTTTGCTAATCACAACCATGTCAGCTTCAGTCGCGATCACGAATCCACGGCAGCACTCACAGCTAAACTCTCTGTCAGACATGATGTCGCGAACACAATGAGATTGTTCTCCACGCGAATAGAATTAGTGGTAATATATGGAAATCCAAAAGAAAGCACTGGATGTCGCGGGGCGCAATCAAGACGCGGACTCAATCGCCCGGAACGGAACAACAGAGAAAAAGCGGCAGAAAAGTAGCAGCACCACCGCCTTTAAATTTACTATATTTTCTTCGTCCGCGATGATTTTTTCTCCTCGTTTCTCATCACACACTCAGAATTCTCTGAATTCTCGCACATCCATTATGCTGGATAACAAGATCACAGAGACATCGCGCTGCTAACATAGTCATGGTTTGTTCCTTCTCTTTCCTTGTTATTGTCTATTCATCACCATGATGATCATTGTTGTCGCCCCTATCAGACCATTCTATGGTGACCTACACAGTCCTAGCCAAACGGACGAACTGATTTTGATGAATCTCGCTATTTTTTACACTCATGTGTGTTTGTGCAGCATTGCTAATGCCGTCAAGATCTAGCTGTAGTACCACTCATCGAAGACTTTTGCCGAACATCGACACAACAGCATGCTAAAGGTATGCGTTACTTCGCTCCTCTTCCCACCCTGTTTTGTGATGAACACCCTACATTCCATGCTAAGTATGAAGATGCTTTGCATCTAATGCTTATAAAATGTATATGCTTTTCATCTTTCGGCTGATTATAAAACTCAATTTTGCCATTGAAATTTCTTCATCATTCGTTTATGGCTATGTACTAATGCTGTACAGATAATCTAGTCTAGAAGTATCAGTATCCTAATTTCATTTACTCTTGAAAGTCTGCGAGTTCCTTGTCGTTCCACCTGTAATTGTTAGCTTTGCCTTGTAAAACCGTAGCGTAGACTTACGAAAGGAATTTCCCGCTCAATGCACTCGGGGCATCAAGCACAAGCTTGGCCATAACGTGTCCCGGCTGCTCGGGCTTAAGGAGCTTTCCCTCCTTGTGAACACCCATGAACTTCGAATGGATATGCGGCACCAGACTCGTAGCATGGTCCTCGCGCAGTTCCCGCTGCATCTCCGTGTCGACCATTCCAGGCCGGATAGCCACCGTAGTCACATCAGGCTCCTCGTCGCCCAGACTCAATGCCAAATGGTTCATGGCGGCCTTGGACGCACCGTAAAGTCCCCAACCCGTGTAAGCCGTAATCGACGCCCCAGACGAAGTAAAAATAATATTCCCCTTAGTCTCACGAAGTGCAGGAAGAGCCGCTTTAACCTGTTTCCATCAGCACCTCCCTCCCCCATCATCTCTCTATAAACCAGGGCACTTACAAAAGCAACCAAACTCAAAAAATTCACATCCCACGCATACTTCCACTGTTCGGGCTCCGCCTCAGCAATCTTCCCAACCTGCCCCAGCATCCCATGATTCAGCACAATCCCATCCAACTTCCCGAAGCTCTTCACCGCGAGGTCAACGGCCTTGGGTGCGAGCGAGAAATCTGCTAGATCGCCATTGAGGATCTCGACTTGCTTGGGGTATTGGTCTTTGAGCGCTTGGAGGGGTTCGGGGCTGCGGGCGACGACGACGATGTTGTGGGATTGAGGGGCGCTGAGGAGGTATTTTGTTATGGAGAGGCCGATTCCTGGGAGTTTGTTAGTGGGTGTTCTTGTTTGAAGATAGGGGTGGTAAGTACCTCTGGAGGCGCCGGTGACGATGATGGTTTTGGCGGACATGGTTATTTGTAAGTTGTGGTGAGTAATTGGTCAATTGGAGTTGTAGGTAAGATATCAAGTGTTGTATGTATAGGTAGAACAATCTGAGATAGCTCTGCCGTCGGTGAAATACTGGGTGATGTAATCGAGGGCATGTGGGATGTGGGGTGTCTACAATTTCTACTCGCATCATAGTACTACTACAGTACTCAAATCTAGACCAAGATAATTCTGTATCTAATTATATTCTAGTACATAATATTGCATATTCGATTTCAATTGTATTTATTTCATCTCCGTTCAATTGTGATAAACCGGCCCGGTCAAAGTCAATTGCGATATATATCTGTACGTCAATGTTGATCAGCTTCGATAAAATTATACGGCCCTGTACATTCATTCCGCGGGAACCACACTTTCGCTTACTCTAAATAAAAGGGTCTCGTCTATTATCCCGTGGGGAGCCATTCAGTGGATTCGTCTCTAGCCGAGCGTCTACGATTGGTGTGCTGGCAAAATGTTAGATAAAAGCGTCCGAAGAGGATGGCTGTGGCGACCTATAAAACACCATCGAGGTAGTTCGGGTTAAGCTAATAACGCATTGACAGTCACGAAAAGTTTCAGAGCTCGTATAGCAAAATGTCGACGGTCATTCTCGGAGGAGGAATCATTGGTTCCTCCATCGCCTACTATCTCTCCAGCGGCCAATCCACAGAAGAAATCCACATCATTGAATGCTCTTCGCAGCTTTTCAGCGCCGCATCTGGCTACGCAGCTGGTTTCCTAGCAAAAGACTGGTTTGCCCCATCTCTTGCTCCGCTAGCCGCTCTTTCATTCGACTTGCACGGTGAATTAGCCGCGGAGAACGGTGGGACTGAAAAATGGGGTTATATGAAAGGTTCTGCGTTGAGTATGGACGTTTCGACTGGGGGATTGAGGAATGGTCCTCGCGGCGATGACTGGCTACGAGCTGGAACGAGTCGGGCAGATACTGCTGCGGGATCTAAAGAGCAGATTGCGGAGGCACCGACGTGGTTGACGAAGCAGAGGGGTGCAGCGTTGGAGAAGATTAGTGATAATGATACGACTGCTGTTGCGTGAGTGTTTTTAACTATTTGGATATGGATTATTCTAATGGTTGTTAGTGACCCGTTGAGATTGAGCAAGTATCTCATCAATACGGCGGTTTCTCGTGGCGTTAAGCTTCATCATCCGGCGAGGGCTGTGTCTGTGGTTACTGATCAAGGGACTATCACGAGCGTCAAGATTGTGGACTTTAACACGCAGAAGGAGACGACCATTCCTTGCACGAATCTGATTGTCAGTGCCGGTCCCTGGACCCCACAGGTGTTCCAAGAGATCTTCCCTTCGTCTGAAGTGTCCCTCCCAATTGGCCCTCTTGCAGGATACTCCCTCGTCCTTCGCTCCCCCAGATACACCCTAGAACACGAACGTGTAACCCATGGCGGTAAAAGCCATGCCATCTTCACAACCCACCCAGACTCATGCGGCTTCTGCCCCGAAATATTCTCCCGCGAAGGCGGCGAAATCTACATCGCCGGGCTAAACAGCTGGGACATCCCCCTTCCCTCACACGCTGAAGGATCCCGCGACGTATTCGACCCGAATGAAATAGCAAGATTAAAGGATGTGTCAGTCCGGTTAATGGGCAAGTTGGCCGATGGAAGCGCAGAGTCGACGGACGACGTGCCTAATGTTGATGATTTGGAGATTGTGCGGGAGGGATTATGTTTCAGGCCTGTTACTAGTCGTGGTACGCCGCTGGTTTCGAAGGTTGAGGAGCATTCGCTGGGTGGTGTGAGGGCTCGGGGTGGTGTATATGTTGCGGCGGGTCATGGGCCTTGGGGGATTTCGCTTTCGCTGGGGACTGGAAAGGTTGTTTCTGAGATGGTGCAGGGAGTGAGGACTTCGGCTGATGTTAGTGGGTTGGCTGTTTAGTTGTATCTACTGCAGCGTGTATAGAAATAGAAGAATTGTGAATATGCATAACATTTTATGCATTATTTACACTACGGATCATTATTACCCCGAAATTATGTCTGAGCACAACTAGCTACCCGCATTGCCGCCACGCGATCGAGCTCTCCAGAATCTTCAGCGTCGACCAGCGAGCTTGCATCTCCCACAGTTCTCTCTTTTATCTTGATATTTCTTTACCGCTGCATTCTTTTCGCATTAAACACACCACTCTTCTTAATCAACAGAAACCCCCGTGCCGCCGTCCACCAGCCAACATGGCCAACTACCTCGCATCCATTTTCGGCACCGAGCAAGACAAAGTCAATTGCTCCTTCTACTACAAAATCGGCGCCTGCAGACACGGCGACCGATGCTCGCGGAAACACGTCAAGCCATCGTACTCGCAGACTGTCCTGATGCCCAACATGTACCAGAATCCCGCTTTCGATCCCAAGAACAGGATGAACGCCAGCCAGCTGCAGAACCACTTTGATGCTTTCTACGAGGACGTGTGGTGCGAGATGTGCCAGTACGGCGAGCTGGAGGAGTTGGTTGTTTGTGAGAATAATAATGACCGTAAGTCCTCACCCACCTCTTGGATATAAGTGTCCTCCGAAAAGGTGCTAACAGGTGCAGACCTCATCGGCAACGTCTACGCACGATTCAAATACGAAGAAGACGCGCAGTCGGCCTGTGACACGTTGAATTCCCGCTGGTACGCCGCGCGCCCGATATACTGCGAGTTATCGCCCGTGACAGATTTCCGCGAAGCGTGTTGTCGGTTAAATAGCGGCGAGGGGTGTGTACGAGGCGGGTTCTGCAATTTCATTCACCGCAAGGATCCTAGCGCCGAGCTGGATCGCGAGATGCGTCTTTCGACGAAGAAGTGGTTGAAGGAACGGGGTAGGGATGCGCGGAGTGCTAGTCGTAGCCCGAGTCCGGAGCCTACGAGGAGGAGGTTTTAGGCTAGTTTCCGGGGGTTTTTGTGGTTGGGTTTTTGTGATGGGGTTTTCTTTATTGTTATCATATGTGGCGTTGGGTGATATTCAGTTTTGCTTGACTTTTAAATTCGACTTCTTGGGCGCAGCGTTAGGCTGGATGCTTAATCCATGCTCTACGGAGTAGTGCTAGCATTATCTTTTACTCATAGCTTCGTTGAATGAAGCCGAAAAGCTCATTATTGAAATAATCATACAAATTACTTAGGCTTGACGGTCACTCAAATAGTATTTTGCCTCAGGTGTCAATCGCGGAACGCGATATCGACGCGATCAACTCGTAATCAGTCTTCATCTTTCGCAGATACAAGCAAGACAAAATGGCCAACGATATCGGCGTCGTCGACTACAATGACAGCAATCGCGCATTCCTCCAAGCCTTCATGGCCCATTCATCCATGACATTCGAAGAAGCGAAACCGATTCTAGCAGCCATTTTCTCAGCGCATGGTATACCTACCCTCCAACCCTTCCAGTCATACTATGACACCAGTTCAGCTTGCTGATAGTACAGAAACCGAACACGTCTCCCCCATCGACATCACCGAAGAAGACTTCTCCTCGTACATCGCAGCCGCCAACACCGCCGTCTCCCCCTTCGACCTCGAAATCAGAAGCACCCTGCGCCAGATCCAAACAGACGGCGATGACACAATCGTACGCCCGGAACGGGTTTATGCCCTCGTGAACACTACCAGCGATCCGCTTACCCAACTCGCGACTACATATACTGCCGATGAAATCGCCTTCGTCAAACGGTTGCTAGACGCCATGTTCGAGACGCATAATACAATGATTTCAGAGGCGATGGTTGTCTCGGGGATGCAGGCGATGCAGCTCGCACGGGTGTCTTCTGCGGATGCTGGTGCCGGTGGTAGCCGGAGAGAATCTATGGGGACTCAAGGCGGGGCGGTGCAGTCGTTAACCATGTCGCAGGCGGAGACGGTCATGCAGCAATTGGTTGATGAGGGGTGGATGGAGAAGAGTCGGAAGGGGTTTTATGGACTCAGTCCGAGGGGGTTGATGGAGTTGAGGGGGTGGTTGGTTGCTACGTATAATGATGAGATGGATGATGGGCGAAGGGCGGATAAGGTTAAGTTTTGTGCTGCTTGTCGGGATATTATTACTGTGGTGAGTTTCTTGCCCCAGATCATATGGAGTGTGGTGCTAATAAGATAGGGCCAACGTTGCGCCAACCGCGACTGCGCCGGTCGACTGCACGATATCTGTATCCGGAATTTCTTTCGCATGCAGCAGGCGGAGAAATGTCCCGTTTGCAAGGCTGCTTGGCCTGGGGATAAGTTTGTTGGGGAGAGGGCGGTTACTTCGACAGATCGGTATTTACAGGGGAAGAGACGGAGTACGAATACGCAGCGGCAGAGCGGTGTTGGGGCTTCTCAGGTTACTGCTGGGGGTGGTGATGAGGAGAGCAGTGAGGAGGATGTTGGGTGAACTAGGTCATCTTATGATTGAGACTGATTGAGTTCATGAGCACACTCCTTGCACAGATCCCGTTCCTCTGCGATGCTATAGGCCACAGGCGTGTCCAGCATTTGCGCACTGCATAATATCTGCCTAGGCGCTACAGAAAGCGACAATGGGTGGTCGCTTCGAGACTGGGGAAGTTGTGCATACCAGGCACTGTACTCTGCATGCAGCTTGCCTACAATGGCCAAGCTATACGATGTCATAGCTAGAGGACTATGCAAGCCAAGAGTACAGAAAGTAGTAGTAGTAGTAGTAGTAGTAGTTGCTATTTTACGTCGGAAAAGTGGCACGTGCGCTGGTCACGTGCCCACAGAGATCCCGGAGCGGAATATACGACGGGCGAAGCAGACTCGCCTATCTAGTAGCTAAGCTAATTTTATCATACATGCTGGCATAGGCTCGCTAACAGGAGGTGGGGTTTTTCAGTGCGCAGGGCATGTTGTGCGGTAAAAATGAGATCTCTGCAACCATTCATGGAAGTTTCTTGTTCCTGACTTAGAGCGCAGGATCTCATCTACCTGTTGGTTTCCCCATGGATGTGGGGATGCCTTGTGGCCCTTTCGACAGTAGTAGAAGTGGTGCGGGGTTTTTAAGCTCCCGCATGAACAGTCTATCTTCGCGCCTTCATGTCTAAAACGCTCATGGTACTGGGCAAAGTCTCCGTGGCCAGACCGGGCAGCGAGGAGTCGGCCAAGGGTGGCTCTGGGGAGGGATAGTTCGTGGGGTCGTTTATCAAGGTCAATGGATAGGTCCTGATATTGTTGCGGTGCCTTCTCCGCCCAGAATGATTGGAAACGGTGCCAGAAATTCTCCTTCAAGGTCCGGCGTGCCCAGGCGTGTCTTGCAAGAGGGGGGTTGGACTGTGGGGCAGACCTAGCTCCTCTTTTGGCTTGCTCATCTGCCTGCTCGTTTCTATCGATGCCAGTGTGCCCAGGGACCCAACAGACATGCACTTGCCCTGGTTGGATTGCCTGGCATCGGGTGGGCCGGTTGGGCCAGGTGCTTGCTGTCTCTTGAAAGGCCAGGATGGAGTGCTGACTGGAGCCTCTGGGGTTACAGAAAGTAGTATTGTACTTGTACAGTAGACTGTATACTACGCGGAGCATGTGACCCGGTACCTTCCCTTGTACCTTCCTTGACCACCTCTTCCCTTCTCCCACTCGACTCCAGTTCTATTCCAACAGTCAACATGATTATACTTGATCGCATACAGGTAATCTTCCCTATTATCTAACAACATCAACACTAACCCCAACCAGACAAAAATAACGCTCTCCTCATCTTACCGCTTCCGGCGATTTTCTCGACTGACGGCCGTTCATCGGCACTATTGCGGGGCTTAAACTTCTCCAGAACCCCACAAAATCACTCTCCGACATCCCCGACCAACACACGGTCCAGAGTTACATCTGCCAAGGGTCCTACGCCCGCTTGTGCTCACAAATTACTGTGGACCTTTTTTCGGCATCGAGCGCTGGTCGGGACGACTAGTATGTCACGGCACAGCCGGTTTGTTGGCCTCTGAAATCGGGTCCATTGCTTAGGGCTCCCGAGGATGGAGGCTTTTCCCCGCATGGTATTTAAGGGTCTTCGCGTCTGGGGTACGTTTTGTTTTTTTCTGAGAAGGAGTTTACGGTCTCTGCACAAGGGGCACCACAGCAATGCAGTCTAAGGTGAGATATCTCGGTATTCAATACGGGTTCGCTCGCAAAGTACTGACTATGGCAGATTCTGGCTACCTTGCTGCCTCTGCTACTGCAGCTTTCGCCTGTCGATTGCGCCAGTAGCAGTGGGCGTATTACTCGCGCTATCGAAAGAAACACTGGACATCTCGAATCCAATGCTTCTAGTATCTACCAAACAAAGTTCCCCGGGGTGACGTGGGACGAAGATAACTGGCTGCTTACGACCACAGTCCTGGACCAAGGTCACTACCAATCCCGCGGTTCCGTCGCAAACGGTTATTTCGGTATCAACGTTGCCAGCGTTGGTCCGTTCTTCGAACTTGATGTTCCGGTTAGCGGCGACGTGATCAGTGGCTGGCCTTTGTTCTCTAGGCGTCAGAGCTTTGCTACCATCGCCGGCTTCCTTGACTCTGAACCATCGCTCGATGAATCCAACTTTCCCTGGTTGTATCAATATGGAGGCGACAGCGTCGTTAGTGGTGTCCCGCACTGGAGTGGCCTCGTTCTCGACTTGGGAGACGGTACTTATCTCGATTCCACGGTGGACAGCGAGACCATCACCGACTTCCGCTCTACCTATGACTTCAAGGCTGGTGTTCTGTCGTGGTCGTACAAATGGACCCCTGAAGGCAAGGGTTCGTTCGATATCACATATCGACTGCTCAACCACAAGTTGAACGTCAACCAGGCCGTGGTCGACATGGAAGTCATTCCGTCTGTCGACTCCAACGCGACTGTTGTAAACGTGGTTGATGGCTACTCGGCTGTGCGTACGGACTTTGTGGAATCAGGCCAGGATGACGGTGCGATCTTCTCCGCTGTGCGTCCTTGGGGCATTTCGAATGTCACGGCCTATGTCTACGCGAACCTCACCGGCTCCGCTGGTGTCGATTTGTCATCTCGCCAGCTTGTCACGGATAAGCCGTATGTCAGCGCCAATGCATCTTCCATCGCTCAGTCGGTCGATGTGCAGTTCAAGGCAAATGAGAGAATGCGCGTTACCAAGTTTGTCGGTGCTGCCTCGACAGATGCATTTGAGGACCCTCAGCAGATTGCCAAGCAGGTTGCTTCGAAGGCGTTGTCGAATGGTTACCTCAAGTCGCTAGTCTCTCATGTCTCCGAATGGGCCAAGGTGATGCCAGAAAACTCCGTTGACCACTTTATCGACCCAAAGACCGGCCGCTTGCCCTCTGATCAACATATTATCGACTCGGCTATCGTCGCGGTGACGAACACATACTACCTCCTGCAGAACACTGCCAGCAAGAATGCCATCAAGGCTGCTTCGGGAGCTCCTATCAACGTGGAAAGTATCCCGGTTGGCGGTCTCACTTCTGATTCATACGCTGGCCAGATCTTCTGGGACGCTGATGTCTGGATGCAACCCGGACTTGTCCTTTCGCACCCCGAAGCTGCTCAGAGGGTTACAAACTACCGCGTGAAGCAGTATCCTCAGGCAATGGCTAATGTCCAGACCAAATATGCCGGTTCGAAGAATCAGACTTACTTTGATTCTTCTGCGGCGATCTATCCTTGGGCTAGTGGCAGGTTCGGTAACTGTACGGCCACTGGACCGTGTTGGGACTATCAGTACCACTTGAATGGGGATATTGGTCTGTCCATGATGTACGAATGGGTTGCAAGTGGCGATACGAAGCACTTCCGTGAGAAGCACTTTCCTATTTATGACTCGGTTGCGACTTTATATTCGAACTTGCTGGAGCGTAATGGATCCTCCTGGACCATCAGGAACATGACTGATCCAGATGAGTATGCCAACATGGTCGATGCTGGTGGATTTACATTGCCTTTGATCGCTGAGACTTTGAATTATGTCAACTTCTTCCGCGAGCAATTTGGCGTCGAACCTAACGAAACCTGGGCCGAAATGGTGGATAATGTTCAATTGCTTCGGCAAAACGGGGTGACTCTTGAATTCAACACGATGAATGGAAGTGCTATGGTCAAGCAGGCTGATGTGGTTCTCAACACGTATCCGTTGGGCTACACTGACAACTACACCGCTGAAAATTCGTTGAATGACTTGGACTACTACGCCAACAAGCAATCGCCCGATGGCCCTGCCATGACATGGGCTATATTCTCGGTTGTCGCCAATGAAGTTTCGCCTTCCGGTTGTGCTGGATACACATATGGACAGTATTCCTATGAACCATACGTTCGGGCTCCATTCTATCAGCTCTCTGAGCAGCTGATCGACGATACCAGCATTAACGGCGGCACTCACCCGGCTTATCCCTTCCTGACCGGACATGGTGGTGCGAACCAGGTCGTTCTGTCTGGATACCTGGGTCTACGGATGCGCCCTGACAACTCTATTCATATCGATCCTAACCTGCCCCCGCAACTTCCTCATGTCACTTACCGTACCTTCTACTGGCGAGGATGGCCCATCTCGGCAAGCTCCAACTACACCCACACGACCCTCAGCCGTGCTTCGAATGCTGCTGTTCTTGACACAGCGGAAGCTCGTTTTGCCAACAAGACTATTCCGGTCCACGTTGGGTCGTTTTCTAACAGCACGGTCTACAAGCTGTCTGTGACAGGGTCGTTGACGATTCCTAACCGGAAGATCGGATCCAAGAACACCGTTGCCGGCAACCTTGCTCAATGTCGCCCAGTTGTGTCACACGATGCATTCGAGCCAGGCCAGTTCCCTATTTCCGTTGTTGATGGCGCCACATCTACCAAGTGGCAGCCTTCCTCCGCCAACCTGAGCGCGGTGACTGTCTCGTTTGCCAAGTCTGGTGCCCAGTCCGCGGTTTCTGGTTTCTACTTTGACTGGCACCAGTCGCCTCCAGTCAATGCAACGGTGATCTTCCACAATCAGACCATCGAAGATCCGGTTTCGGCTCTTGATAGCGGCGATATCGAGGTCGTCGCCGTATTGACCAATATCAAGCAATCGAAGCCATACGATCCGGAGACAGTCAACCTGGATGAAATCATGTTGCCCGAAAGCAATACCACCAGGATTGATCTGTCTGGACCCGTTCCGGCGGCACGCTATGCCACTCTACTCATTTCTGGTAACCAAGCGGCCCCTGATGCGGAGGATGGCGTCGGCGCTACCGTGGCTGAATGGGCTATTCTTGCTGATGGCCATAAGTCTTCTGAATCTTCCGACGACAAAGATAAGAGGAAAATCAGTATGAGGGACGCTGCTGCTTTGTCGAGTGGGGGTTTTGCGGGGCGGAGGCAAGTCGGCCGGGGTTAGTTATCTTTATGGGGTAGAATAGTATTGTTACTGTGACACTCGTGGATTCCTGCATGTATATATATGAACTAGCCTGTTTGGGTCTAGCATACGAATACGAAGCGTTTGGTTTATATAACTAACCATCTTCCTGTTCTCTCGAATTTTGGTAGATGCATATCGGCCTGAACTGATAATAATAATCACCGATTCATTGAATACATATACAGGCCATTCTAATACATCATGATGCAAATAGTACAGTAAAATATCAACAACCGAAGCAAACAAAAAGAAAGTCATTGATACTAATATTAAGCAAGAATCCTGCAATCATCTTTCCACCCGAACCATGGCTGGGACAGCTTAGTTGTCCACAGCAAATCTGTCAAGGAACCTGAACGCCCTGAGGCCCTCCTTGATCTGGTCCACAATATCACCAGCAGACTTGGCAGCATACACACCCTCCCTGCTCGAAGCAATACCAGCACCCCGCAGCGCAGTAGTCGCACTACCAAGCGCAGCAACAGGCTTACCGAACCGGAACCCATCAATCAGAATCTCCAACGGACGGCCGGCGGGGAAGAGCGTCGAAGCAGCACCAGCAGTCGCATTCTTCACACCACCGCCAGTCAAGCTAGCAGGGTTGAACAGGCTCTCTGCGCCACTGGCAACAACCACAGCGTCGAATTGGATAGCGTCGGAGCCGGAGTATGTCTGGTCGACGCCGTCGTTGAGTCGTTCGGCGACGACGACGACTTCAACGCCGTTCTGCGAGAGACTCTTGCTGAGCGTGGCGGCTTCGGACAGAGAATCCTTGTTGTCCACGGACGCGAGATAGCCGATCTTCAAACCCTCGAGTTTCTGCAGTTTGCCGCCGAAGGTTCCCACGTTGGTTGTCTTGTTGTTGTGGTAGAAGGTCGGGTCGGGGGAGGGTTCTTCGATGCCGATAGCGCGGGCGACGCGGCGGGCGAGATCGTTGGAGACGCGGTTAAGTTGGATGATGACGTTGTTGCGGACGACTTCGGACTTGACGTTCGAGTTCTCGAAGCGCATTGCGTCGACGATGAATTGCTGCTCGACGGGGTCGAGGGAGTTGTAGAAGAGGCGCGGCTGCGACCAGTTGTCGCTGAATGTGCTGCCCACAGTACGCTGGAGTGTTCCGCCAGGGTTCCGGTTGGGAGCTGTGAAGAAGCCCTTGCCGACGGTTTGGTTTGCTTGTTTGGGGGCGCCGGGGTTGGTGGTGTCGGGGCCCGGGGTGTAGGAGTCGCGGTTTAGGGGGATGAACATCTGGCCTGCGCCGTCGCGGTTGTTGTTGTGGATGGGGGTGCGGGGCTGGTTGATGGGGAGTTGTTCGAAGTTGGGGCCGCCGTGGCGGTTGAGTTGGGTGTCGAGGTAGGAGAAGAGGCGGCCTTGGAGGAGGGGGTCATCGGTGAAGTCGATGCCGCGGACGATGTGGCCAGGTTGGAACTGTCTTGTCAGTACTTCTGTACAGGGTAAGGAGAGGGGAGGGGGGAAGGGCTTACCATGGCCTGCTCGGTCTCGGCAAAGTAGTTGCGCGGGTTACGGTTGAGCTGCATCTTACCCAGAGGCGTGACGGGGACAAGCTCCTCAGGAACAATCTTGGTAGGATCAAGCAGATCAAACCCAAACCGCAACTGATCATCCTCATCCATAATCTGCGCACCCAGCTCCCACTCAGGATAATACCCATTCTCAATCGACTCAAACAGATCCTGCCGAATGAAATCCGGGTTCTTACCCGACACCTGCTGCGCCTCTTCCCAGACCATACTGGCGCGACCCTGCAGCGACTTCCAGTGGAACTTGACGAGCTTGGTATCGCCGTCGTTAGTGACGAGACGGAAAGTGTGCACACCGAAGCCGTCGACGTGGCGGAAGGAGCGCGGGATGCCATGGCCAGCCATGGCCCAGAAGAGCGTGTGCAGGGCGCTGGGCTGCTGCGAGAAGAAGTCCCAGGCTGAGTCGTGGGCGGTGGCGGCTTGGGGGATTTCGTTGTCGCCGCGGGGCTTGACGGCGTGGATGAGGTCGGGGAAGAGGATGGCGTCTTGGATGAAGAAGACGGGGATGTTGTTTCCGACCAGGTCTATACATTTCGAATGTTAGTGTTTGCATGGTTGGGGTGCAGGAGGGGAGGGGGGGGTTGGATGGGGACGCACCGAAGTTGCCCTCGTCGGTGTAGAAACGAGTTGCGAAACCGTGGACATCACGGGCAAGGTCTGCACTACCCCGGCTACCAGCGACAGTCGAGAAACGCACAAACATGGGCGTCTCCTTGCCCTCGCCGCCCAGGAACGAGGCGGCGGTGATGTTGCCCCAGTTGGCGTACGAGGTGAAGGTACCATGGGCACCAGTACCACGGGCATGGACGGCACGTTCGGGGACCTACACCATTAGACCTCTTTCAGGAACGAAGGGGAGGATAGACATACCCGCTCATGATCAAACCGCTGGATCTTCTGACGGAAGATAAAGTCCTCGAGCAGAGTCGGACCACGCTCGCCCACACTCAAACTGTTCTGGTCTTCGATGGGACCGCCGGCATCGGTCGTCATATAGGTGTTGTTGTCGTTGAGGTAGTACTGCGACAGGAACTCCTCGGTGGCAGCGGCGGCATCGTTGCTGGGGGTATCGCGGGCGTTGAGCTCGCCGGTCATGTAAGGACAGGCAGCATTGGCGAGGCCAATAGCGCCGTTAACGACGGCGAGACTAATGGCGCGCATTCTGTTCAGCTATTCGAGGTGTAGCTGTATCTGTGGAATTGTGGAACAGGAACAAAACAAAAGGAAGACCGAAGTATAAATACTTCTTCCCAAAAGAGCCAAGAGATCTTTTTTCCTTTCCTGGATTTCGTTTACGCAAGGAAGTGGGATTCCGCGGGCGATTTATACAGGTCGATCGACCAGGGGAAGAGGAGAAGTATTATATGCAGCCATGCCGTGGAGAGAGGAAGGGAAAACAAAAAGCAAAGACCAGGCACAGGAACAAACCAGACCGGGCCAACTGACCAACCATATGGAATGCATTACGGGACCATGCAATACGGATTATCGAGATAGAACAGTCGGTCGAGCTTGATTATGTTGGTTATGTTGATTATTCGAGCAGAAGGGCCTAGAAAGCGAGCATTTCTTTACGGCTTAAGAACGAACACCCCCATTTTATTCTGTACTCTGGTATGGTCACCACCGGTCCAGGTGGAGACATTCGATCATCTTTCCTTGGTTGATTAATACGGAGTACAGCATGCTGGTTGGATTAAGCCGGACCTAAACTAACTAGTCAGTTAAGTGGGCAGGACTCTAATTTGTTTGCATGGCAGGACCACCAGCACGGAGGGCAAACGGGCCAGGCACGATGCATTATCAATACGGGACAATATCTTACCTGAATTCAACTACGATTTATCCATTGAGCACAAGCCGGACTCCCACGTTCTTCCGTCACATCAGAATACTACTTTACTCAGATGGTGCCCCCGGAGAGACAAAATGGTGAGATGTAATGATGCCGGTGGAACTGGGCTTGGCATTGATTGAATAAGCCCGCCAAATAGACACTCGGCATCGGGTCGAGGCCGTGATTGCTTGGTAATTAGAACCACGCCTTTTGGTCGGGCGTACCACGGACTAATCGTGCTGATGCTAGCAGGCTAAACGGACCTTGCGACAGATCGTCCGCGGGCTTTTCGCATTGATTGTTTGCTCCGAGTGTCTTGGCAAGTGCCGATACGTATCACCATTGTTGCGAGTGCCGTGTGGCAATACGTGCTCCGTCCTTGTACTGTTACGCTCACTCTTTCTGGAACGGGATGGAATAATGATGTGCGATCTGAGGCTGATGCAGTTTCGCCGTTATGAAGGGATTTTCTATCCACGACGGCATTCAGTACTGTATTATGTATCCAGTGATGCGCGGTGTACTCTGAATACGCCCGGACCTCGGAGACCGACGATGCGATGGATCATTTCGGTGAACTTGGTTGCCTCCCTTTCCCTATTCTGATTTTCTCCGCTCGCCAATTCAGAACCCGGACGATAGCGATGGTCTATTGGTGTGACGGCCGTCCTCCGTACAGAAATACGTATCCTAGCATAGTGGCATTCGCATTCCGTCCTACACGGGTGGAACGCACATACAACGTTCCCTGCTTCTACTATTGTTAGCCTCATGCACACCGTCGCGCGTTATTTCTAAACACTGAATGCTATTGGATCCGCGCGGATTCCCAAGAGGCACCGTTTCTATCCTCGCAAACGGCGTCGGAGTTACAAATACCGCCAGTCCTTGCCTGGGTGTACTCCGTAGTTTATCCTTGTCATCACACTGTCTCTTGGCGGTGGAAGTACGGAGTATCCTAGTGCTATCACACCTTGGCGGCGGTTAAGTTGATGTGTTGTGTTGTTCCATTTAGACCTCGCAAGAATAAACGAATGCAACAGCAACACAGCAACACAGTATCTTGAGGTACTCCGTACAGTACTTTGGTCCTCGGCCGAGTCTTTCAATCTCATCTCGGATTGTGTTCCGGTTAGTAGCTGTACACACGCTAACGCACCCCGCTGGTGTTCGTCAAATGCCCGCATTATCACATTGCTCCGTAAATATGCTATTTAACATCCCAATGCATCTGACTTCATGATCATGTCTGCTAAAAATAGGATGCCCATGTCACCTCGTCCTTCTCTCCGAGAACTATGTCGATAGATATCACGACCTTGGCTCCCTCACCATAGAGGTGATCCCCTCGGCCCTGTGCTCATCAATCGTCCGATCCTCAAACCCATACCGCGCATACAACGGGCGCCCATCACGACTCGCATCCACATACGCAGCGACGCGATCCTTATCCGCCTGTTCACAGCCCCAAGCCACAAGCATCTTTCCAGCGCCTCGGCCACGATAATCAGGGTGCGTGCAGAGCATATCCAAATCTACTTAGTAAGCATCCATACTCTTTATTATTATTTAATCAAGTTTATTGTCCATACCGAGCCCTAGAGCTATGACAGACCATTATCCGTGGACTTGAGGCCGTTAGCTATTCTACAGTCTCTTATCCCTATAAGTTCCTGGGGCACTAGCCCCCTTCCATACTCTTTCTGATCCTTTTCCTCGCCCCAGACCGCCTGTTTGCGCAGGGCTTTCGAGCACAGTGCTCTCCTTGTGTTTCGTGCGGAATGGGTGCGGCCTAGGCTGACTCCAGCTTAGGCTACCCTTCCTGCTATCCTTCTCCTGTTCGAATTGCCTCCTCCAATGCTTCCAATCCCCATTCATCGTCCCTTTGGGCCCTTTCTGCCGTCCGCCGTAGGTGTGCT